AACGATTGAAATGGTGATTCAGATTTGTATTCGGTTATATGAACGCGAATCACGAAACGACTCAATACTGACTTAATAACAACCCGGAAGGCAATTCAGACTTGTTCTGGCGCTGAGCTGCCGAAGGAGCAGAATAATGTTTAACGTTTACGATGTTGTACTCTCCTTATCCAATTGCAACTGAACACATTACGACTTCTGGGCCGCCTTCATGACAAACCGTATCCAAATGATGAGTATATCCCATGAATGTGACAATCCTACGATGACCGTCGATTTATCTCGAATAGCACTTGTAAGGATTGAGAATCAATTGACAAACTTGGAATTAACACTAGATTGATAATGGATTGATACGCTGGCCTACCGAGTTCAAACTGATTAGATTATGAAACAACTTATGCTGACCTACTAGCTTCGAAAAAAATGTATCTGTAAGGGTCGCGTCGTGAGGGATGATCATTGCATTTCCGTTGATTGGTGATCAGACGGCCGTGGCGTAGTCTCATTCAACTCCGGTGAGTCTGTGGTGCTAGGCCGGCGTGAGACCGTGTGATCGACGATGACGACTCAATGATAATTACGTTAGCGGTCTCTGTGAATCCGAATCAGCAACATATCTGGAGTAACCCTCCCTTTCTTTTCCCAGACAGATTGTTAAATTTTCACGCTATATTTACAAACGGGCGATACAGTAATGCTCAAGCTCAAGCCATAACCGGTTCATTGCGATCGATATAGTCAACTCGCCATTCTCGATACAAACTTAGCCTTAAACCTAATCCTAACGCCCTAACCGCAAAAAGATTATTTACAAAACATCGCCAATTGAACTGTCATGACGTCATCTGACGTAGTTTGACGCGTCAGTGGTGACCAGCGCCCTAAAAATGACACCACCTGACCTGTTCCACTCCCCTCTCATACATTTGAATCCCACACCTCACTGCGGCCGGGCCGCGCGCGCGATGGCCGACAGATAGCGCTACCCCAATACCAATGTAATGGTGAGCCATTAGCCTACACTGACCATTACTGACCCGCCCCGGCTGTCCCTCTAACCCCTCTGTCTATCCCATAGACAAGGCCGGACCAGTCAGGCCCATTAGCCCCTTCCCGCCTTTACAAACAGACGCACCACTGCCGCGCTGCTCGGTCGGGAGCGGAATGTAGCGACCATCTGCCCTCCCTTCCCTGCCGAATAACACTCCCACGATGTTAAATCCATTACCCTCTAATGGTGGCTCAGGTTAGACCCCAGGGAGTGGCATTTGTAATCCAGATCAGAGACATCCGATGGGTAAATGGGAGGTGAATTGTCCATGACGGGGAGGCAGTCTTGATGAGGCGGACAGATGAGATGACTCACTTGACAGTGTTTGATGATTGCTGTCCACTCCAGCTGAGGTCCGGTGCAGTGATGATCCGATCAGCAGAGAGGCCGCTCCGGCCGAAGCCGGGCGGGGCGGTGTCCCGCGCCGAGTCCCGAGGCGTTCTGTCTCTGGTGGTCGGCCTCCGGTGATCGGTCTCGGGTCTGTCTGTCACTCGTGGTCTGATCCCGTAGTCTGTTCCCTCTCTTCTTCTGCGGTCCGATTTTATTCCTTTCGTTATCCGGTTCCGGCGGGGGTCGATTTCTGTGACCGGGACAGTTAATCGGTCCTTTCCTGGCATGACCTCCGGCGGCAGCCCTGACCGGGGCTGAAAATTGGCGACATCCCGTCTCGCATCCGGAGTCGAGACCGTCGCCCTCCTCCTCCATTCCGCCGGAACGTGACGTCATCCTCACTTGCTCGGCTCATCCGTCTCAGCTGTCTCCTGCCGGATGACGTTTTCACACTCGATTTTCGCCGGATGTCGGTCCCTGCCTGTGCCGGACGGCTGACCGCAACGACATCCTCCCATCTTCCTGTCAGCTGCGTCGGCAGGATGTGCGTGGCGCCAGGCGTCGGGAGGCTGGTCCAGCACCGGGAGCAGGTGTTTCGGCTGCGTTGCGTTTTTCGGCGGCCACTGCGCCGGCCCGGATGGGTGTGTTTGTACTCCACCCTTCGGCGAGCCTTTGATCTTCGCTAATGGTGACCGGCCGACGGGTCGGGGGATCGTATGGTCGACTCCCTCCCCACGCCGGCTCGGCGCCGCGGCAGGCAGTGCGATCGTCCTTACGTATAGAGTGTGAGAGATGTCCTTTTTGATGTACGGAGAAAAAAATGTCACAGCTTCCAGCTGTTACATTAACATGCTATGATCTTCACAGAATAGGTAAAATCAACTCAAAATATTACATTCTTTTATTACAAATAATACCTTCCCATGAACTTCAATATGGTGACTGCAGAGCTCATTCAGTCAATCAGAGACTGTGCAGAGACTTCATCATTCAAACAATCAGAGAATCAATGTGCAGAGACTAACACTTTAAAGGAAATAGTTCACTTTTAACATGGGATTTTGAACTGGAATAGCAGTTTTGTTGCTTGAGCTGAGACTAGCACAAATCAGGAGCTTTTACGGCTCAACGATCACCCTAGACGAAGATATTCCATTTCTCGTTCCGAAAAGAGTGCCTTGCAGAGGAATGCGTGCCTTGCTGAGGAATGCAGTCACGTCATCGTCAGCCAATCAGAATGCTGCTTACAGCCGATGGGTTTGTCCTACGCAATATGATTGGTCAACGCGTAATAAGCATCCGCGTCAAACATTATTTTATATAGAATATAGTTCTTCTTATACTAAAATATAGAGAATAATCCTTTTTACAAAAACGTTTTGTTTTATTTTCTGATCATTTTGAGCATAAAAAAACATTAATCCATAGCAAAATACTAATTTCAGGAAAGTGAACTATTTCCTTTAAAATCTAGTGACATTTCACAAACATCTTTTATGCTACAAGCTTATGCTTACCAAACACTTTTTCATGACTCAAATATGGTGGTGTTTATTTTAAGTGAAAACATTCATCCAGCACTAAGCAGATTATTTCTAAGCTCCACGAAGTCCCAATTTCTGTTGGATTTTGCTTGGAGTCACTTCATAGTTTGAACTCAAAGTGCCTTGTGGATTTACCTCAGTTATGTAGGTAAATCCACAAGGATTGATGGGCTTTACCTCAGTTATGTAGCTGCTCCCTCAATTTAAGTTTCTCGTTAAATTTCATTGAGGCGTTGCAAGATTGGCTGAAGCCAAATTCTCTTCCCTGTTTGGCTGATGCTCATAATACCTGAACATTTTTAATTCCAATTTTTGTAGCTGTTAACAATTGATGAAGGTCCAAGTACCTAGACAACAATGACGTTACAGAGGAAACCCCTGGCGGCTGGCTGTGTTTCACAGGCGCGCTGGCGCTGCCAGCGCATTCTGTGAGCTAGCGTCAACCTCTGGTAGTGTTGGAGGTATAGGCTTGTTGATGTCTCTATGGAAGTCAAAAGTGGCTGGCAAGTGTCGCGAAACACCGCCCTTATTTTTGCACAATAACAATAATGGTGTGATAACTGTTGCTGCAAGAAAATATAAGGTGAAGTGAAGACGTGAAGTAAAATCAGGTCAGACATTAATATATACCCGAAAATAGCAGTGTATGGAGTACCTATATTCACATTACCAATAATATGATGCGCAACAGGGCCAGGCCATAGAAAAACAGGTGAATGTTGAATTGTAACACAATTTCAATATCAACATGGCACTTGGCATATTAACAGTAAAACACAAAGTTTTTGATGTTAAATCAACAGAGAAAACTCCTGAACATAAACAAAATGATCAGAATGTATAATAAGGAAAATAATAGTAAAAATAAAAATCCACGAATCAGCCTATCACCGCCCTTACACATTCACCACTCCCCATTCCACGCACAGATTGTTTACCCCTTGGCTTACCCCGTGTTCGCAGTCTCCCGGACGACGAAGATTGTATACGCCGTCCGACCAATCACGTTCAAGATCAGCGGGGCTTGGCCGCGGTTCTCGAACGCCATTGGCCAGATTACGCAGAATCTTCGTCGTCAGGAAAGCTGTGAACACGGGGCTACATTTTTCGCTATGGTAACAAAAGCGCCAGAATTGACTACCAGAATTGGATCCGAAGGTCAAATGGGTCACGTGACTGTGCAGTTCAGATGGACAACACCTGCTAAATACAAGGTTGCACGGACTAATTTCTACTAAACCTACCAGAATAAAGTTTCACGGTTGGGTATTTAAATAACTATTCAATCTAAACTTCTTAATTATTTTCCCGTTATCATTTATAAGCAATTTTATAAATTGACTTTCAATTCGCTTGCCTTTTACTGGCAAAATAACTTTTTAGTATTGGGTCAACACATAGTGGTGTAGCAGTAGGAACCATATCTGGCAAAACCCCAATACCTACATACAGCAGAAAAGCAGCCACCAGGTGTCGCCACAGTCGCCACTTGGTCGCCACACAGATGTCGCGCGCGTCGCCAATCGCCACACTACCGATTTCCATAAGGACGCATATGTACGGAGATGTATAGGAAAGTCGCCCTTAAGGATTACGCTTACATCCTTTGCTTATGAGGTCGGTGGTTGGAAATTGGGAGGGGCTCAGCTATTTTCGACCACGGATATAGCTTTATCACATGATTAGGAACATGCTGATAAGCATTTTATGTGTCATAACAGCACAAAAGTATTTTTAATCATTTTTTTTTCAAAAATAGCCGTTCTGCCGTATCTTTCAGTGCAAGGTGCCGTCGGTCATCCCCGACGTTACGTCACGCCGGGGATTGCCAGATTTTCCTACTAGACTTCGACGCCCCCTGCATACGTACAGACGTTTTGATTTTATACAGGCAAATATCTACTGCGCTCCCGATCTGGTGATGAGCAATTACTCCGTCGTAGCACTGGGCGCTTTACAGAGTGACTTGCCTAAACATATGTACAGGGGCTTGTTTTCATACTTGTCATGTATTTGCTGCTGATCAGGCGTGTTGAGCGCCGTGTCTGACTGAGGCGGCGCCGTGTCGGCAGGGCGTTGACGGGCCGCTGGCGGCCGAGGCCGTGGCTGCGCTGGCCGTGGTGGTGCACACGCAGGCGGTTGCGCGGCTGCCGGCGGGTGCGCTGCAACTGCTGACCGCCAGCCCAGCGCCACTGACGGCCGCACTCGACCGGCTGCCAGGTGGCGTCTCGCTGCTGGTGAGTCCCGCTGCGGCAGTCCCGGCACCAGCTCCCTCCGGCAGCCGGCTGCCACCAGCTCCGTCCCACAGCCGGCTGCCACCAGCTCCGTCCCACAGCCGGCTGCCACCAGCTCCGTCCCACAGCCGGCTGCCACCAGCTCCGTCCCACAGCCGGCTGCCACCAATTAATGCACCACATTGGAAACCATGTTTTAAAGGGTTTCTATGCCAATAAGTGGCACAAAATTATGGATTATGACGTGCGATCACATAAAATCACTAAAACAGAACGTTTGTGAGTTAAAACAAGTGCTTTTTTTGGGATATATGTGTTGGAAAAAATAAGTAAGGATCTATGATCTCACTGGATCTCAAGCAAAAAAATGAGGCTCGGATCTGTGATCCCTACGGATCTCTCGATAAATTACAGTGCTGCATCTATGATCCCGTCGGATCCGAGATCAGGATCCGTGGGATCAGATCTCAGATCCATTTTCTCGGATCCATGCACATGTCTGAGGGTGTCCACGTCAAAAGTGTAACCAGACTTTTCTCCATAATTTTATCTTAAACACATCACACTCACAATCAAATGCCCTCGTTTGTGAGCCAAATCAATGGCAAAACATTTGCTATACCTCTCAGCTGTGCTCGGCACTTTGCTGAGCAGCGTGTGCCGTCTAGAGCAACTGCTCTATATGAGCCCCTTTACGTCGGGCCACCGCCGGCAGACTGGAGGTGGGTGATCGTCTTGACAGTTGACTACCATGTGGGAAGGAAGGCGACGGATCTCGTCGTGATGGCGTCTTTCAGCTCCTGGGTCGACCCTGGATTGCCGGCGTACGCACAGTCCTTGACAAAGCCCCACAAGAAGAAATCTAGAGGACTGAGGTCGGGCGAGTGGGGAGCCCATTCCACCGCGCTTTTCAAGCTGATGTAGCGGTCAGGAAAGTGCTCCTCCGTCGCCATGAAAAATGGTTTCAACAGGACGGGGCGCCACCTCACACCGCCAAAGGGTCGCTGGAATGGCTGGAGGGGCACTTTCCTGACCACCACATCAGCTTGAAAAGTGTAGCGAGGGGATTAACGAAAAGAAGGGTTAAAGAGCTGCATCTTGCGGTTCATCATGCAGCGTGGTCCGTTGTCGTTCAGCTAGTTGTAGAAGAACAGAGAACTATTTGCTGCTGTAATGACTCGATAGTAGAGCTGGTGATGGGGAACTTGAGAGTCGTTGAAGAGATCCTGAAATAGCTATAGAGCGGGATCCAGATGGTGATGAGATCCACCTGAGAGAGAGATGTAGATATAGATCCACCTTGCGTACAAATACATCTGATGGAAGATGCTTTTAAATTGGAGGCTTGATGATTCTGTTCATTGTATAGACCATGATATACGAGATGCTTCTTCACTGCTCGGATTAAGGATGAAGGGATCCGATCAGCTGGATTTGCGGCACAGTTGGGTAGGTGAAGGACAGGGCATTTCGAAGTTCCGATGGCCACTGCCAAACATATGGGTGGTAATTACATTGATAAATTGAATGTGATCATTCGTCCAGTCACCCATTCCTATATCACTGGCCTCCCCATTAGCAAATTGCCCACTTAATTCGTATTAGCGTTGCTAGTTTTAAGTTGCCCTCGAGACTCATTTGTTCGACTGCCGTAACCGAATTCTACCAAATTCCTATCGGCCTTATTCTAAGATTCATGCTTCATCATTCTCACACCCTTGCTCGCATTACATTTGCATTTCATGTATTCACCCAAATTTAATTGGTAGCCCCCCACATTCCCTCCGATGATGTTAGGTGCCTGACTAATAGCGATCTCCCCGGCGAGATAAATGTCTCTTTCCGAAATCCATATGCATGCTCCGCTAACCGGCGACAAAGATACTTATCGCAGGGCCGTCCAGAATAATTGCACAAATATCCACCCTGCCATTTTATGGGATTCACTACACGTCCGATAGACTTATGGTACACACATACACGATTTATATCCGACTTATCTCTCTACCGGGAGAGATTACCTATGCCCTCTCCGGTCTGCGTGTAACATTCCCGTTCACGACCCAGGGACCCTAGTTCATATCCTGGAACTATCCTTAACCCTCGCCGGACCTATTGGTTTTCTACATACGCGCCGGCCGAGGGGGGGGGGGGCGGGTACGACCCCCCCTCGCCGTTTCGCCCCTGGTGGAGCTAGCGCGTCGCGGAAAAAAACGAGCGTGTGCGCCGTTACGAGACGCAGAGATTGGTACCCGATTTTAAGGTCCTAGGTCAACCGGTGACCTCTGAGGTCAGGTCAAGTGCCCCAGGGTACGGTTCAGTTTTTGGTGAATAACTTCGCAAAAAATGGCCGCAGAGCCGCGATTTTGGCAGCATCGTGTTCGCCTCGCTCAGGCGCGTCGAATGATATACTTTTTGTCCGGGTCAGGTCAACTTGGGGTGTTGACCTCAGGTCAAGGTCAGGTCAGCACCCCCAGGTCACGAAGTTGGTCGAAAGAGGTCATGTCGCATATCATTCGATTCGGCAGGTCTTCCTGAGTCCATTGGTGGCTTTCTCGACTCGCTAGCTCAATTTGATAAGAGTTATTGACGAAAAACTAATATGACCTTGATGACGTCATACATGACGTCACGCAAGGTCAACATTGCAAAAGTGACGCATCTAACCTTGCAAGGAGTGCATCAAATCACGTTTCTGTGTGCTTGAGATAGTTGGAGATCGTTCCCGGCGCCAGAATAGCAGTTTTCATTTTTCCCCATTGCACAGTGGCCCTTTTTCAGAATTAGCGCGCATAAATTCAAAATATTTTTTCTCTTCTTTTGAGTAAAAAGCAGTCTAATCGTGTGCAAAACATTCCAAACTATCCGATGGTGCCATTTTTACCTCCTAAAAAATAATTATTTTTGGTAAAACTGACCGCGAAATCGAAGTTTGTCGAGAGGCGCGCGGACACCACCGGCGGACCCTAAAAAGTAGGGTGAGATTAAACATCAATTTGTAAGACTTCCGATGAGAAAATATTAAAAATTAGTGGCATGGCTGTGAAGCTGAGTTTACGTAGAAGCCCTAGAAACCACTATTTTCATTGCATAAACTTAAATATACCACTTTTGCCGGATATTGTGAAAACAATAACAGGACAATTATTAACTGGAGATGGCGGCATACATATGAAGCTTTATGTTCACTCTGGAACATGTCGTATAATACATCGTTCGAATCGCCGATCTCTTCTGACCATGTCCACCAAAGGGCATCGCGCCATTTTGCGCCATTTTGCTTCTACGGTGGATAACGTGAGCCAGTTCAGTCCGCGAGCGGCTGTGGCTCCTGTTCGATACGACTAAGCTCATTGACCTGGCTCGAAGCTGATGTCACCTGGTGTGCGCCTAAATGTGGCTGGACTTTTGCCATAAGATGTGCTAATTGAAATGTCATGTAGGCATAACGCTGTGCCCAAGAAAAACTGTCCGATTTCTTGTCGCGTTTGATGTCCAAGCCGCACAAGTCCCGTGGTCGGCTTAAGATCTAACGTTAAAAGCGCCTATGTGTTTGTATTGTTCGCGTCGCGCTGACCTTAGTTGATGCCCGGCCGGGGCCGACTAACGGCGGCTGGCAACAGCTGTAGATGCGGTCACGTGACGCCCTGGGGCGTCCTGGCGGTCAGTGCAGCGCAGTCGGCTGGCGGGCTTGCCACATTTGCGTTCGGAGCGGCCTGGGCCGGCGGGCGAGCCGTGCGAACGTGCGCCAAATCTTGGGCCGAGCGGCCTGTCGCTGTTGGGCCGAATCTCCTTTGGCAGTTCGTTTCTTTTCTTCTCTTTGCATTGGCAGGGAATACGTCCTTGATCACGTGGTGATGTCTCAGCACCACTTTCAGGTAATGTGGGAATTAATGCGTGCTAATTCTGAAAAAGGGCCACTGTGCATTGACTTATAATGGTGAGGTCACGAAAATGACCTGACCTCATACGACCTTTAGGAAAAATCCGAGATATACAAGTTGTGAGACTCATAATGGATACTAGATCCTGCAAGTTTCATTTCCCTGTGACATCTCTGGCAGTGAGGGCGTTGCAAAGTTGCGACATCTGAAGACCGTGCAGAGGTTCACTTATGACGTCATAGGTCAGTGACCTGACCTGACCCAAAAATGCGGTTGGTGTCAAAAGATGCGGCTTGGATCAAAGGTCAGGTATGCCAAGTTTCAGCTCTCTATCGTCAGCGTGTTCGGAGCTATCGCGAAAAAACCCTATGGGGGGGGGCGGCACCCGCCCCCCCCCCCCTCGGCCGGCGAGGGTTAAACCATGGGATTTACTTTTCAAGGCCTTACGTGTCCTGGAGTACATTCTTCCCTCCCCAGCGGCTGTCCAGTACCGACTGAGGTACCCTTACAAAATAAGTATGAGGACTTATTTGGGACACTACGGCTCGCCTTATCCGCCCTTTGGGTGACTCACGTCTCACCCCTGACCTTCGGCTTCTTGCCTTTGGCATAACTTACTCTCCACTGCACTGTGCCAATCTCCCCCTTTCCCCCTGCCGTAGAAACCTCTCACTGCCTTCTCACCCAGTGTTACCTAAGCGGGAAAATTAAAGGGACTATCCCACCTTTACATTAGGTTTGAGTTGAGATAGCCAAGTTTGCGGCGAGGTCCAGAAACCACTATCTTGGTTGCAACCCCCGCGGCCTCGTGGTGTTGAAGAAATTAGTTCCCTTCATTTCCAAAATCCCTTCAATTCAAAAAGTCGCCCCAAAAGGCTTTATACTGGTGTATAATGACATTGTTTTTGTCAACGTCAGAAGTTGACAGTTTTATTGGCGCCGTTTTTCCTGCAGCCGCTGGTCAGCTGCCTGCTGCGCACCTGTCTGTTGGAGGCAGCCGGTGGCGACTCGACGGCGGCTGCCATGGCAACGGCCGTGGCCGCCTCTGCGCGGATCGAGTCGACCAGCGAACAACAGCTACTCATCAGGTCAGTGCACCGCGCTCTGCGTCGGCCGTAACACTTTTTTTAACAGCCGCCAACAATTTTCACATTTTTAATGATCAGTTTATTCTGTTATGGTTTTTCAAATGTGCCGAGTACTGTTAAGGCCTGGCTACACTATGCGTTTTCTTCGTGCGTTTTTTGCGTGTTTGCGTGTTTTGCGTGATATTGTTCTAGAAAAAAGAACGATATTACGTTTTTGTGATGTTTTTCACCTTAAATTTTAGTTACATAAGAGTTATATTAGCTTTTGTATATAACCAAAGTAAAAATTATATTGTTTATAATTTTTTCCTAGAACGATATTACGCAAAACACGCAAACCTGCAAAAACGCACGCAGAAAACGCATAGTGTAGCCAGGCCTTTACAACCAGCGTTGGCCTACGTTACGTTATTTTGAAGTTTTCGGTAACCCGTAGCTGTCAGCACCGTTTCGTAGCGTAATTGGGATGTTTCGGTAGCGTAGTACGGAAAATAATAGAATAACGTAGGAACTACGAAATGGATTCCGTAGCAATTACAGGTCAGCTGTTGTTTCCGTGATCTCGCGTTGTGTTTAAACAGTTTTAGTCAGTGTGTTGTGTGCTATTTACTCTACGCAAATAAATCAATGTTAACAATGTTCAAAGCGTGTAAGCTATTCTAATCTTGACCTTATCTCAAAAGCTCAATTAATTATCCATTCCAAGATATTATCATAAGGATCAAGTCTCATATCTTAATCATATTTTCTCAATACACTTTCAAAAACACACTACATAATTCAAGATCCAATTCCCACTGTATTCTCTCAAAATTCTCGTGACCTCTATTTTTACACAAATGAAAATACTCGTGCAAGCGGTAGCACTGTAACACTCTGTAACACTCCCCTCCACCATGACCTCTCAGGTCATCACCATGACCTCTCGGGTCACCACCAATACCATGACTTCTCAGGTCATCACAATGACCTCTCAGGTCATCACTATTCGTCTGGCTCGCTGACTTCCAACTTGACTAGCTTCACGACAGGTTTCTTCACCAACTTGCCTTTAGTCAGGACTTCTACCACTCGAACTCGACCATCTTCACCTTTGAATGCTTTTGTAACTCTTCCCAGGGGCCACTCTCCTCTCGGTGCGGCGGGGCTCTGCACGAGCACGATGTCATCCTCCTGAAGGTCAGGGCGCACCTCAGTCCACTTGGTTCTTGGTTGGAGCAGCGGGAGGTATTCTTTCACCCATCGCTTCCAGAACGCCAGCGACACTTGCTGAAGCCGACGCCGTCTCTTTTGATGCGTTGACTCGGTGCCGTCAGCGGAGGGGTCGAGTTCTGTCCTTCGGGTCCGATGACAGCGGCGTCAACGGCCTCGAGTTGATCATTGCTTCTGCTCGACAAAATGCCGTTAGCAGCTCTTCATCGGAGAGACTTGCGCTTGCAAGTGTTCGATGTAGAGTCCGTTTAACCAGCTTCACCAGCGCCTCGAATGCTCCACCGAAATGTGGCGCTCCCGGAGGATTGAAGTGCCACTTCATTCCTCTCTTGCCCGCGTGTTTCTTCACTTTGTGCTCATCTAGCGACCGGTACAGCTGCTGAATTTCTCTGTCGGCTCTCACAAAGTTCGTTCCGTTGTCAGACCACATATCGTCTGGGACACCCCGTCTGGCCACAAAGCGATCCAGTGCACGCAGAAACGAATCCGTATCCAGCCCATATGTCAGTTCGAGGTGAATGCATCTTGTCTGGAGGCATGTGAACAGACACAAGTACCTCTTTGTTCTCGTCTTGCCTCTTCCCTGTTTTGTTTCGAAGGGCCCAGCATAATCCACAGCGACCTTGGCGAATGCTCTAAATGACGGCTTGACCTGAGCTTCGAGCTTTGCAGCCATGATTTGGGTTTTAGGCTGTCTTCTTCTCCGAATGCACTGGAGACATCCAGCATTGTGCTTCTTGACTGCTTCCCTTCCACTCACAACCCAGTAACGCTGTCTGTCTCAGCTCAGCTAGCGTGTGCTCTAACCCTAACTGATGGTCGCCGTCTTCGTGATAATGCCGAATAATCAGCTTGGTCACAGGGTCGTTCTTTGGCAGCAGCAGTGGATGCCGGGCTTTGTATGGCAGCTCTGACCTCTGAAGCCGACCTCCCACTCGAATGAGCCCTCTCGAGTCGAGCTGCGGGCAGAGACGTCGAATGCTGCTGTCAGAGGCCGGTCGTCGGCGCTGGTCATCTGAGTCGTTCTGGGTGCTCATTTCACTGAACTCTCTGCTGAACGCATTCTTTTGCGCTTTGCGCACCCAAAACTCTTCTGCTCGTTCTATTTCTTCCACTTCAAGCTCAGGCACCATCCGCCTCGCAGGCGAGCTTTGTTCGGAATGGGTTGAGTCCACCTGCCTGTCTTTTGCGTTTCTCAGGTTGCCCATGTAGCGGAATATCCACGCCGTCACCCGCTTCAGTCTTGTCCAGCTCGAGAATGACGATGGGTTCAGGCGACTATTCTCTTCAAACTTCACTGGGGAAGCCAGGGTGGCTGTGCTTCTGTGCTCTCTTCGAAACTCTGTCTGATCGCAACCCTCGGCTCCGAACTCTTTCTTCGCGGGCCAGTCCTCTTCATGTTTCGTCAGGAACTCTGGCCCGTTCCACCATTTCTTAGTGTGGAGAAGCTCGGCCGCTGGCAGCCCCCTGGTTGGCAGGTCGGCGCTGTTCAGACTACCGGGGCAGTGTTGCCATTGTTCTGGGTCTGTGCTTTCTCTGATCTCGGCTACACGGTTGGCCACGAATGTCTGGAATCTGCGCACTGCATTTCTCAACCAGCACAAGACATCCATGGCGTCACACCAAAAGTGAACTTCCCTTAAAGGGACTCCCGTTGCCTTGCACGCTTTCTTCGCCAGTCTCAGGCCCAGTACGGCAGCAACGAGCTCCAGTCGAGGGACTGTTTGCTTCTTCTTTGTTGGCGCCACTATGGCCCTTGCCAACATCAGCACTGACGAACGGCTTCCGGGAGACGACTCGGTCACCACAGCCGCATATGCCAGCTCGGAGGCGTCTGAGAAAACATGGAGAGACTGGTCTTGGATTGCAGTGTCAGATCCAAACGGATGTAAGCAGCGAGGGACTCAGATTGCTTCCAGATCCATTAGTCCGTCAAACCACTCTCTCCACTGTCTTTCCACTTCGACAGGCATCGGATCGTCCCAGTCAATGCCTTCTTCCCACGTCTGCTGAAACAGGATCTTCGAGATGATGAGGTATGGCGCGAAGAAGCAAAGGGGGTCAAAAACGGTCGCCATCCTTCTCAGGCAGTTACGTTTTGTGAAGCGGAAGTCTTCTGGAGCTTCTGTGATCTTCAATGTGAACTGATCCTGCTCCGCCGTCCATCGCACTCCCAGAGTCTTCACAAAGGGACTGTCATCCTGCCTGAGAGCTACGTTAGTACAAGATGCTCTTTCGTCTTCGGGTATGCTCTTCAGTATTTCTTTACTGTTACTCATCCACTTGTGGATCTTCATGCCAGCGATGCCCATGAGCTGCACCAGCTGTTCCTTCGCTTCCAGAGCTTCATATTCAGTTCTATAAGACGTCAAGGCGTCGTCCATGTAAAAGTTGTTCAGCACTGCATCTGCTCCCACCTGATACTCAGCGTAGTGCTCTTTGGCGTTCTCTTGTATCACTAGCTGTGTGCAAAATGGTGCCGCTGCATTACTAAACAGCCAGCGCTGTGCCTCGTAGACTTGTGGCTCACTCTTTGTGTCCATGCTTCGCCACAGAAGCCTGTGATACTTCCTGTCCTCTTCCCTGAGACGAACTTGTAAAAACATTTCGCTCACATCACCAACTAGGGCCACAGGGTGCTGGCGAAAACGAAGGTGTACTTCAGTCATGTCGTTATACAGCGACGGTCCAGGGAAGATCTGTGAGTTGAGATTTGTGCCCTTGTACTTAGCAGCTGCGTCGTGCACAATTCTGACTCGAGTAGATGTCCTGTCGTTCCTGATCACAGGAAAGTGCGGTAAAAACCAGCCATCTTCCCTCGCAAGCTCTGCGTCAGCTCCTTCGAGCTTCACGAGATAGCCCTTCTCTACGTAGGCAGAGAAAATCTCATCATACTTGACAGTAAGATCTTCGTCTGGATTTCTCAGCAGAGATCTCTCCGTTTTGACCAGACGGTTTTCAGCGCTGCAATAGTTTGATGGCAGGTCTGGTTTTTCCTCGCGCCATGGAACAGCAACTTCATACCTCTCGCCGTCGTGTCGGATAGACGCCTTGGCACGACTGATGGTGATTCTTTCCAGATGAGACGGAGCCATTTCATCCTCGGTTTTGACACCCATTAGATCCAACTCGGTCATGTCTCTCATGGCTGATATTTCTTCTTGCATTGACAACTTCTGTACAGTCGTTCGCATTGTTCTCACATATCTGGTGACACCCGCACGTATCTTCATCTTCTCCTGGTTGGAAACCAGATCTGCTTCCACGGGACCGAAGGCCGTCCAGCCGAATGGCGTCTTGACAGCCACTGGCTCGTCGCTCTCGCCCTTCACTTGTCTCTCTGGCGTGAAGAGACACATAGTCTCCGGGGTCACACCGATCAAAATGTCGATGGTTTTCTTTCCCAACGTTGGAAACGGAAGATCTGCCATATGCGCCCAGCGTTCCTGTACTTTGCACCAATCGATGGCGTCTGACGATCCAATTAGATCTTCGGTGACGAACACATTGAGATCCATCTTGATCTGGTTGTTTTCGACACTCGATATTACTGGGGCTTTCTTCATCTGAACTTCTTCAGTTCCTTTCACTGTCGTCAGTTCGAACGTCCAAGGCGTGCCATTTACATCCAGTTCTTCCGTTGCCTTTTCACTGAGGTAGGAAGAATCAGAGCACGGATCCAGTAGAGCGTTGAGCCTTAGTCTCTTCACTCCAGTCTCCACGAAGACTGGGACAGTCTGGAAGACCATCACCTTGGGCTTCGAGTTATTATGTGCTGACGTTGACAA